ATGTTGGCACCGCTTTCCCCCAAGTGCAATGTCAACATTCCACTCCCACCTCCTCGCTCATCAGTATGCCTCTACCTCCTTCATACTCTCCCCCTCACTTCCTTTCCCTTTCCACACCAACAGCACCAACAGCGCCTGAGGGGTGGAGGAGGGGAGGCGGTGGGACTGGCTGGGGCTGGCCGCTGGTATGTGCGTTGGACAGAGGAGGGCAATGTGGTCAATTGGATGACCATCACCGTGAGGATGCTCGACAGGCTGGGTGTCATCTCATCAGCGACATGGCGGTAGGGATGTCAGGAGTCCCAAGGAGGTGTCCTTGGAACAGGTGGGCAATACGAGCATCCAAGGATATGGAGTACGACGTGGTGTTCACAGTGGGTGTGGCTTGTGCTTTACAGTCACTTGGAAAGTGTTTAAATCTGCTTGGGGTGGGGGCAGTGCGGGAGGCAAGGAGTATGACCTCGTGTGCTGGTGAGTTTACCTGGGCCTCGTGGCGAGTGAACTTGTGCGTTTCGACAGCTTCCATGGTGAATCACATTGATGGGGCGGAGAGATGTGATGTGACTTTACCTCGAGAGATGCATGGTCCGTGTTTTCTTCTCATGTGATGCCTCCCTCTCTTCTTTGCAGCTTCACCCTTCCAGGCCTAATAAGGTGTTTCTGCCACTCGATCTCTGACAAGGCAGAATGAATGCGAGCACTGCCTTCCCCCGTGCAATGCCATAATCAGATATCCTCCACTCTCCTCTTCTCACCCAGTGGTATACCCCTCTTTTTTTCATCCCCCCCCAGCACTCCCCACCACACCAACAGCTTCTTCCTAGTATCGGCCGCAAGGAAGGAGCCCAGCTCGTGGCTGCGAAATGGAAGCAGCTGGGCGAGCTACAGCAGCATCAACACTGGTGGCGGTGAAGGCGGTCATTGGGGAGTGGGGTGGAGGCAGGCGAGGAGGGAGCCACTTCATCTCAATGACACACAGCCTGGCAGCATGGCAGAGCCATGGAATGCAGCAGCAGTGGTGGGGTGGGGGTGAAGTGAATTAATCACCTGCCTGCCTATACTCGTGTGAGCAGCCCAGCTCATCTCTGCGGCACACCAGCCAGGTAGCATGGCAGAGTCTTGATGCAGCAGCAGTGGTGGCGGTAAAGGCAGTTGGCAACGACTGGGGTGGAGGCGAGCCGGAGGGAGGCTGACTCATGGGAGGGAGGGCTGTTGGATTTGAGTGAGCAGAAGTCATGATTGTGGATGGCTTTTCACGGGATGCGGAGGTAAGAGAAGTGGAGCAGGAAAGACATCTGTATCATTTTTCACCGTTTCCCTCTCCCGCATCCATTGCTACTGATCACGCTTGTCTCAGTTCGTGCCTTTGCTTTCTCGCGCCCTGCATTGTCTTTTGACACTATCTTGTTGACGAGACAGACGAGGCAAAATGAACCAGAGCACTGCTTCCCCGTGCATCTCATTCCAGTGCTACCCGTCATCGCCACACAGGTAGTGACTAGCACCAGCTCTCAGCACTACTTTGCTGACGATGCAGAATGAATTCAGGCACTGCTTTCCCAAGTCCAGTGCCATCAGCTATCTCCCACTCCCTCTTCTCGCCCTGCAGCATGCCCCGACCTTCTTCCCTTTCTTCCCCGCACTCCCTTGTGTTGTCACGGCAACAGCACTCTCCTTGTGGACCTGTGATGAGGCGCCCTGCTCATCCCTGCGGCACACATCCGGGTAGCATGGCAGAGTCACAGAAGGCAGCAGCAGCACTGGTGGCGGTGGACTATGTTGGATTATACGCTTTGGACCTTTTGCGTGTAGCGTTTCTACGCTAGCGTGTACACGCTATACGCTAAACGCTAGCGAAAACGCTATACGCAGCCCAAAATGTTTTCGGGGCAGCCCGCCTACCAAAAAATTTTCGAAGTGCTCAAAAGCTGCGGAATTGCACGACGAGCAATTCTGTGATCTCAGATTGCACGTCAGGTGGCTGTCGTGGCTGGAAATTGGAATCGTGTCCTGGAGTCGCGATTACGACCTTCACAATTTGCACGTTCAGAATTGCATGGTCAAGTATGTCGAGTCGCGCAAGCACGTCTCCACAATTCAATCACTCCGCTTCACCCCATTCAAACACGCTTCATCTATCTAGTCCAACCACTCGTGTCCTCATCCCCGTCACCCAGCATGCTATTTAGCCACTCGTCAAAATGTCCATCTCATTCGGTTTTCAACTCCCGCTAGCTAGTTAGCGCGCTATGTCTTGTTCTCCACCACCCACATCGCCGTCCGTACAGACAGAGGAGAGTGCGAGTGTTCCTCCAACTGTGTCACGGGAATACCTTCCCGATGTTAAACACCCTGTGTTTAAAAACTTCAGGCTCATTAAGCGGGAAGAGGGCAAGGCACAGCAGTACGAGTGCAAATTTTATGGGTAGGTTTTTTTATGGAGAAACACAACCCACCAGAAACCCCCCTTGCTGCACTCCCAGAAGGGTTTTCTTCCCTGCCCGAGAAACTTTTTAGCTGCCCGGAAATGCGTATCCTGGATCAGACCCCTCCCGCGTTTAGCGTATATACGGTGGCGTATATACGACACGCGTATGTACGCCAAACGCGTATAATCCAACATAGGCGGTGGAGACAAGAAAGAGACGCGATTCAGTTTAGCTGCACACTGCTTATTGCACAATGTTGGAAGTGGGCAAGAGTGAGGTGTGGTAGGGAAAGGAAAGTCAAGGCAGCAGAAGCTGTGGTTGTTGTGACCTCGTGTCAGAGTACACTTAGCTGCAGGCTGCTCCTTACATGCTGGTCACAAGGGGCTTTCGGGCTGCATGTGAGGAATGAAGAGGTGCGAGCACATGGCATCATAACACCCCGTGGACTGGACACTTGCCACTTGAGACTGGTGAGGAGACTGGATGGAACCAGGTCAGAGGGGACTTGATCTGAAGTTTTTTCTGACCGTGGAAAACGTGCTTGAGCAGTGAGGGGCGGAAATGAGTAGCAAGCTCAACTTGGAGATTCAGATTGAACTCCAACTTCCCTGTTGCGGCTTTGATCATGGACCCGCATGGCTCAAGTCAGGTGGGTCCCCCAGAGAATCTTTTGGCGAACCAATGGCCGGGCCGTGCTCTACTGGTTCGACCAGGGTAGGGTTGAACCTTTGGATCCGGTACAATCTAAACCAGGAAATCCTTTCAGGGATGAGGTCACTTTGGCCCGAGTTGAGCCTGCCTAGGTTTGATCTGGGCCGTTTTGGCCCTTGTTCTGCCAGGGATGAGCTGGGGTTTGACAAGTTGCACATACCTATTTTCTGGTGCTTGCCACCCGCGAGAGCATGTGCACCAAAATCATGATTGGGTGATCGTTGTCATGAGTCATGGCGCAAGCATAATGGGTGAGGAGAGAGGGTCGAGTAGCTCTGAGAGCCGATCATCCTCATGGCTGCTCATAATTGGTGTTGCACGAGCTCTTTCAGCCCCCCATTCCCCTCTATTCCCCACGCGACTCTGTGCTTCACCACCCTCTCACGCTCTGTTGTCCAGTCCATACCATAACTCTACACTCTCTCCCTGCCATCCCTTTCCTCCCTCACTTCTCTTCCCTCCCCGTTTCCAAGTTTTCCAAACACCCCATTCATGCCCGCTCTCATCCTCCCAATCCTCTCCTCCTCACTTAGCTTTCAACAGTTCGATTGTAAAACTCCATTTCAATCCCATTGCAGCTTTTTCGGTCTTCCCCTTTTGCCATCCACCCTGTGCATGAACCAACTGCCCTTCCCCATCTCAGGTCCTCTTCCTCTGCTCCCCATCCCAGCCAAGCAGCACCATAGCTATTGCACCCTCAGGCACGACATCTCCCTTTCCCCACATCACCATGACTGCCTGCTATCACCCTATGTCCCCCTCGGTGCCCCAATCACCCTCCGGTGCTGCTCAAATATGTATCTCACCAGTCTCTCTTCCCACCTCCATACTCTTCCCTCCCCCAACCTCCTCCCCTTTCTCCCCCTCCCTCCCCCCGGTCCCATCCCACACCCCTCCCCCTCCCCACCCACCCTTCTAGTCCTTGTTGTTTGATTTAATGGTGCCAGCAAAGAGGCGCCACATGTGCCATCCTTCGAGGTACATTTATCTCACCCTCCCCAACCATCCCGTCCCCTGCTCTTTGCCTATCCCCCCTCTGCTGCTTCGAGCAGTGCCATGGCCTCGCCATGATGGCATGGCGTCGAGGGAGGTGAGGCTGTAGCGAGGGCAATTCAGGGCAGTTGATTGTCGTGACACGGCAATAATAACTCAATTGAAACGGGAAGCTTCACAGCTTATGTCTTCCGTGTTTTGCTTTACTTATCTACGGTAGTTTTTCATTGTGGTGACACACAATGGCCTTAGAGGAGAAGAGGGCTGTGACCTGCTGAGAGGAGCACCACTGCAGCGCCCAAGGGGATACTCTCCCCTCACATGCACACCTTCATTGTGGGCATGCCACTCCAATCCAGATCTTCCTGGGCATCATGGTTTCAGAGAATGGCCAACAGTTACTAACACCGGCAGCAAGGCTGCCATTCCGCAACCAACCATGCACACTCAAACCGCTGCACACTAAGGCATGCCAACTTCGTAATCCAATCATTACAACCTGGTTGCTCTTTGATATGAATCAAACCTGATCTGATAGCATAGTCTTATTTTGATAAAATTCTGATTTCGGTATCATTGATTGAAACATACTGAAGTTGACAGCAGGGCAGAAAATGTGAGGCAGAATGGATTACACAGAATGCAAATGTCTGAACTTGCATGAGCAGTTTTACTGGTACCGTATAAACTTTCCAGCATGAAAACAACAAACCCACAGCCATTCTCCTGCTCTTTACAGCCTGATTTTGTAGAGTTGCTGGACTGGAACAAATACAAGCAGCAGCTTTCCTAACCTCCAAGTAGCAAACACATCTCCTATATCCATACTCGTCTCCATTTTTCCATCATCACTGCCGCCATGCCCGCCTATCTGCCTGCACACACCCTCATTAGAACTCAACCTCCCCGTGGAAGCAAGAGAGGGGTCAGACCCCCCTCATACGGCTGGCATCTTGTTCAAAAAGCCCTGCACCTGCAAGATCTGAGTTAGGCACGACCAAATCCATGCCTCTCTCTCTCATTCTTCACACCCCTTGGCTCCACGCCTCTCCTCCTCAGTCTCCCCTAGTTAGCGACACTCAACTCTTCCTCACCTCACCTCCCTTTCCATCATCCCTCCCTGCCACCCTACCCACCTATCCGCCTGCGCGCAGCATCGCTCTCAAGGAAATCCCCTTCTGACGTATAGAGTTTTGTCAGCTTGGTCAGGGCAGTCAGCTGCTGCAGCCCTGCATCCGTGACTGCCTTGCAATTCAGACCAAGATACTGAAGCCCTGTCAGCTTCCCTACATGCACCATGCCAGCATTCGTCACACCCTTGCAGTTTGAAAGCCACAGATGTTCGAGAGAGGAGAGAGATGTCAAGTGCTGCAGCCCAGCATCGGTCACGTTGGTCGATTGGAGATCGAGGTGCTTGAGACTGGTCAAGGATCTAATGCCTTCCAAGGCACTGTCTAAATCGACAGTGCCTATGAGGCCGAGCGACTCCAGCCGTGGCAGGCTGTAGAGGTGCTTGATGCCCTCTTCACTGAAGCCCGAGGTATGGTGAAAGAGAATGCTCTTCAGCTGGGTCATTGTAGACACATGGGCGAGCATGGCGTCTGAGACACCTTTGCAACCCTGCAGGTCCAGGTGGGTTGCTTGTGATGCTGACTTGATAGCCTGGTGAAAACAGAAAGGAAAAGAAAAGGGATGATCCCAATGACAAGAAAGAATTAGCAAGTGACGCATGCCCTGTTGAACCATGCATGCCCCGTGAGAGAGTTCGCTCAGCACTCACCTCCCACGCCGTCTTTTCATCGCCTCCACTATGGCTTATTTGCAGGTCATCATCCAACTTCTTGAGAGCATCCTTGTGCTCAGCCAACTCCCGCTTCACTGCTGCCAGCTCTCCCTCCCTCTCTTCCATCACAGCAGCAGTCATCTCATTCTTCTCCTCCACAGCAGTCAGCTTTAGCCGCAGCTCTTTCACCTCCTCCTTATATCCAGCCAGCTCCTCTCTCACTGCTGCCAACTCCTCCACTAGAGAAGCAGTTGCATAATTCCTCTCCTCCACCGCAGTCAACATGTGCTGCAACTCATCCCTCTCCTCCTTGTTTGCAGCCAGCTCCGCTCTCACAGCTCCCACCACCGCCTCCTTGACCGTATCAATTAGTGCCCCCATCACTCCCTCAGCGGCCATATCGTCCACTCACTCCCCCCAACAATTCTCCTCCTATGACCGATCCTTGCCTTCACTGCAGCCTGGCAAAACAAGACAAGGCCGGAATAGAGTAGGTTCAAGCGTCAGAAATACGGGGCAAAAGGGGGAAAGTCAAGGCACACACAGTCGAGCGCATATTTGGATGAGCCATCAGAGGAGAAGCTTGTGCAGACACACATGCATTTTGCATGAAGCCTGGCAGCAATGGAACAAGGGAAGGCCAGGAGGAGAAAGAGAAGGCCAGGAGGAGAAATAGAAGGCAAGATGTCAGGAGGGGCAAGAAGTGCGAGCAAGGACTGCCAAGAAGGAAACAAATGGAGAGGGTGAAGACATGCAAACCGAAGGGGCTGCATTGGGTGGTGGAATAAACAGAACAGGCAGATATATTTTGACAGAGCATAACAGAAGCATTATAACAAACGAAACAGTGAGATGAATGGAATAAGATGGATAGGCGGGATTTTGACCAGGTTGGATGGAGAGGTGCACAGAGCATTGGTATGCACGTGGTGTACCGTCAGTCAGAGTGAGCTGAAACGAGCAGAGCAGCAAGAAAGTCCGAAGTACAATGCGGAAAGGACGAGGCAGATTTTGAGCAGAGAAGTGTTAACAAAAAACCAGCATCGTTAGGTGACAGGCGAACAAAGAAATGGGTGGCGTGGATAGGAGCACCCAAATTGGTCAGCTACTGTAGTGGTAGGAACAGATGGGATGAGTACATGCAGGGCTGAGGCGCATGTGAGAGGGGAGGAAGTGGTGAAGAGAGTTGGTATGCACACTCTTGAGGCTGATGAGAGGTGGATATAGGTTTGTGTAGTAGTGAAACAGCAAACAGCAGGAAGGGAAGGACGAAGAGGATAATTCTGGATATCACAAAGGTACAGAAAGCCGGAGGATACCCACCTCACAGGATGATAGCAAAGCGAGGAGCAACTGGCGGAGTGGCTGAATTGTAACCGGAAAGGGGCAGCTGAGGATGTGTGTGACTGTAAGTGGAGTAAGGCACAAGGCACCGGGGTGAGGCGGAGGAGAAATAGGAGAAGGAAAAGAGAAAAGGAGACAATGAGATTCATGATGGGAAGTAAGATGGCATGGCGAGAAGACGGTGGCAGCAGGGAAGGGGCAGCTGAGGTGGTGTGTGACCGTGGTGGGTGGAAGAAGGCATGATGTTGAGACACAGGTGGCATGAGAGAGAGAGGAGATGAGATGAGACTGACATTCATGGCAGCGAAGTAGGTGAAATGGCAGGGAGCTTGCAGATAGTTTTGCGAAATCGAAGGAGAGCACATGGGGCGAATGAGATGGACATGGGAAGAAGTGAAAAGGCAAGAGAAAGGCATACAATGGGTGAAAAGGTAGTGGCACGACACACATGAAAGAGTGAGGCAGGCAGGGAACACAGAGGAGGAGAGAGGCAGCGGTGCGGGCAGCACATGGCCCATGCTTATCAAGTGCCAGGTGAACCAGATGGCAGCAGCGCGGTGCAAGTTGGAAGCCAGGCGTTTCTCCGTAGACAGACAGACGCACACGTTTTCGTGGCCTGTGGCGAAGGGGCGCACGGGAAGCGATGCAGATGGCAGCAGTGGGAGCTAGGAACTTGGCAGCAGACCGAGATCTGCAGACGTGGAGCTGAACAAACCGAGATTCGCAGGCGAGGATGAAGGGGCGCACGAGCAGCGAGGCAGATGGCAGCAGTGGGAACCAGGTGGTTCTCAGCAGACGGATTGACGGCTGGAGGAAGCTCAACGGCACACCGACGAAACCGAGAGGAAGTATGCCGCTGACAGGAGGAACTCGGTGGAAGTGGGAAAAAACAAGTAAATGTTGGCTTAACCTCGGAAAAAAAAAAACGAGAAGAGAACAGAGGGAGAAGGGAGAAGATGGCACAGGATGATGAACGAGGGAGAGGAGGGAGGCACGTTACGATCGGAGGTGCCATGAGGCATGCATGGGAGGCGTCACCCAATCCTTCCATCGCTCCGCACGCCTTCCATCCTGTTTACTAGCCTCGCACGCCCATTCCCATCCAATCCTTCCGCCTCGCGCGCCCATGGGCGCGTTCTCTCCGATGGATTACCAATTCATCGCACCTGTTGAGCTGTTCGCCTCTCAGTCGCCGTGGGCGAGGGTGGCGTGACGCTGTCATGACATACATGACATGGCATGGCCGCAGTGTCACAGTCAAAACTTGTCGACCACACCGCATGCGGTGCGCCCTGGCACGGCGTGCGGAACATCATCGTTGGAAAACACGAGAGGTGGGACCAGACATATCCCTCGCAGCGCGCATGGGGCATGACCCTTGACGTGATCGTCGTATCCGATGCACACTCGATTAACCGACCTCGAAACGTTTCCCATACTCTCTAGCCTTAGGCCCGTTTTCCTAGGGGTGAGAAACAAAGGAATATGTCCTTTCGATACTGTCTACTCAAGACCACGAGGAACAGGGCTGACCAAGACGGTTATTGCTTCGTCATACTTCGATTTAATCACTAACATGATCTGCGAAGATGTGCCGTCACTGACATGACGTTTGGACATCTCACACGTGTTAGCATGTGTTCCACACAGAACCGTTTTTCAAGCTGGTTTGCATTGTCACTCTCTGTAACAATGTGTTACAGCCCAAAAATGTACTGTACTCCGAGTCTTTGTTGCCCGCCATCAACATCGAGCACCTTAGATCGTTCAGGCTCGCCCTTTTGAACCGCCAATTCGACGATCCTTGTCCGCCTGAATTCGATCCCCGCAAGTGTCGAATGCACAAACCCGATTTTGAATAGGCCCTCGGCACTTCCAGACCTCACTTCACGCAATTCACTCCCGGGTTACCATCCTTGCGAGATTGAAGCGTGACTAGAAAGAAGGTCCATGACAAGGAGGTAATCGCTGCGACTTGAGCCCGCACTCTACACGCGCGACCAGGGTATAGATTGGTTGACGAGATGGGGGATGACGTTGTCTTTCGCACAGCCTCGATGTCGCCACTAACCGCGAAGTGGCGACACGCAACGTCAATATTAGGGTTTCGTGCTCGAATTCCGTTGCAAAAACGAGGCCTTCGTACTTCGATGCACGAATTTTCACTGTGAATTGCGCAGCGAGGAGCGTGATGGCGAGACACGCGAACATTAGTACAAAATCCAGTGATGGATTCCGCCGCCACATTCGCCATGGGCGGACACTCGGCTGCGTCGTGGCAGCTTGTGGAATAATTGCGGGGTATCCTCTCAGATAACGGTCTCTCATCTGACGGCCTCTCGGCTGACAGCTTCTGAGAGGTTGGCGCGCAGGGCATTGTGCACATCGAGGTGAGGAATCCGAGCAGCATGTGACATCGTTCCCTCATCCCGTCCCTTCTTCCATCCGTTGATGCCGTTATGCCTCTCCCTTACTGCATGCAAAATATCGCATCTTGCTTCTGCTTGCGGCTGAATAAAAGCAAGCACTGCTTTCCCCTGTGCAATGCCAACATCAGCTGTCTTCCATCACCCCCTCATTGCTCAGCCTTAGCAATCTCCTTTCCCCCCCTTTTCCTTTCCACGCCACCAGCAAGCACCATGTTTAGCGCATCTCTACCACACACAGACAAGTCGAGAGCTTGTCAGCTGAGAGCTACGGCATGGTAGAGCTACGGGCTGCGTAAGCAGCCGTGGTGGCGGGGAAGTCGGTAGCAGGCGAGCAGCAGCAGTGGTGGCAGTGATGAGCGAGGCATCAATGTGTCGGCTTTGTTCTTTCTCTCTGCGTCTTCCTGATTCGCTCTCCAAGTCGAACCCGCACAGTAGTACTTACGCCACGCGGGTATTGCTTTGTTGAAGAACCGGGGGTTTAAGTTGCCGCATTCGACATCCAAATCGGCCATGACTTGTGCGAATATGGCGCAGTCTCTGCAGTCGAGGAGCTGCACCTGGCGTTGCAAGCACAAATGGCGCCAGCGGTGTTCCTGCCTGCCACACCGCGGGCTGCTGTCCCTCTCTGTGCGGGCGTTGTGAACGAGGAGCTACACTGCACCTGGCGCTGCGTGCACATATGGCGCTGCGTGCACATATGGCGCTGCGTGCACATATGGCGCTGCGTGCACATATGGCGCTGGTGGCTGTTCCTGCCTGCCACACCGCAGGCTGCCGTTCCGTCCCTCATTGTGATGGCGTTCCTGTTCCTGTGCGCGCTGGCCCCGGCTCAAGGGCAACTGCGAGCACTGCTCCACCGCCTCGACTCTCACACGACCACATGTGGGCCTGCATCAGGCTTGTCTTGCCATACGGTAAGCGAGGACAAGCCTGGTGCAGTTCAAGCCTGATGATGCGGCCACTGTGCGTCTGTGGGGGGGTAGGAGAGGCCACTGTGCGCCACCCGCCTGCAGCTCCTCGAGGTGGAGAAAGGCGCCAGTAGCTGGACGTGTATGGAGTGGGCTGCTGGACGTCGCGTATGTCTCGCTCATCGCCACACGAGTGAGTGAGTGGGCTGCTGGACGTCGCGTATGTCTCGCTCATCGCCACACGAGTGAGTGAGTGGGCTGCTGGACGTCGCGTATGTCTCGCTCATCGCCACACGAGTGAGTGAGTGGGCTGCTGGACGTCGCGTATGTCTCGCTCATCGCAGCGTGCTGCTGGGGACACAACCCGGCGAATTCGGTGACAGTGAGTGGGCTGGTGGGGCTGGCGATATCATGGCAATTCTGCATTGGCTCGCGGAGGGAGTGGCAGTAGCGGCTGCTCGCCGGCATCGTCATCCCTGCGGCGCCTCGCTGCTGCAAGCGGAAAGGTGCGGGAGCTGGGAACCCTGCATCTTGTGAAGCTTTTCCCAGCGGAACGGAAAGTGGGGGACGTGTCGTTGCACCGAAGTGGTAGCCAGGGCTTCAAGTCCAGTTGGAGAGGTCAAGGGATGTTTGTCAAAGGGGGGAAATATGGATGGGGAAAAGGATGAGGAGGGGGTGGCTAGGTCAGAGCAGGCGCGGGCGTTGTGGCAGGGCGAGGACTTGATGCACACATGGCGGGGCGAGCAGACTGAGTGGGAGTGCCCAAACCAAACCAGACAGACTGAGTGGGAGTGCCCAAACCAACTGCTTCTCCCCATCTCAGGTCGTCCTTTGCCCATCACCCTCCCATCTCCTCGACATCCCAGCCAAGCAGACCGTAGCCATCGCACCCTCAGGCACCACCTCTCCCTCCCTCCCATCACCTACACCACGATCACCCTATCTCTCCCTCCACGCCCCAACCCCACTAATGTGCTGTTCATTTATACATCTCCCCATTATCTCTGAACTATCCCCTCCCCCTCCAACCTCAACCTCCCCCCCCATACACTTCTCCCACTCCTTAGAGGTTTGTTGATGGTGGCAGCAGAGAGGTGAGCCGTACACACTCCAACCATTTTTCAATAATCTCAGCTTTCAACCCCTCCATCCCACCATCTCTTCCACTGCCCCCTTCCCCCATACCTCACTTCTGCTGCTGGCAGTTGCCCTGCCATCATGGCACGGCCTGTGGGGGGAGGTGGGGGTGGTGACGAGGGCAGAGCCAGAACGCTTGGAGAGGGATAATTAGCACCTCAAGCTGAAAGGTTTCTAGTTGAATGAGGGAACAGCTTACATGTGAGCCACATGAGCAGCCATAAATCTGTTCTATAGGATAAGGATAGTAGTGAAATAGCGGTGCAAGCACACCTCATCGCATGCCATATTTCTAGAAGGTAACCTTTTGCGTAACACTTCCTTTCTAGTCACTTGTGCCTGCCGTTTCACTCATTCCTGCCCTTTATCCATGCCCAACCTTTATCCTTGCCTTTCGCACTTCTTTTTGCAGTTGTGGTGGTGGAGCTTCGGTGACACACATAAAGGTGGGAGCAATGCGTTGTAATGCTGTGATGCGTTGCATGCATCGTTGCTGGCTGCTACCTTCCGAGGGAAATGGTTTGAGAAACATAGAGGGGCAACTGTGTTTCTGAGGAGGAAACTTTGCAATCAATAGATGGAACGCAAGTGCATTTGCACAGCATCATATACGGTATCTCATCTGCCCCTCTCCCATGCTCCTTTCCTGCTTCACCTCTGTCTGCCCCCGACCTCAGTCAAGGGATGGTATTGCTGCTACTCGTGTACACCTTGGATAAGTGATACCGTCTCCCCCCGGATATAAGCGCCACCCTAGGATAAGCGCCTGGCGCTTCTAATTGGCATATGGCGCTTATATCCCCTCCTCGATTATAAGCGCACCCCTTGAAAAAACTTGTTTTATTATAAGCGCACGTAAACTTTAAAATTTGAAATGTGTTCAAAAAGCTGTAACGATTTTTACTTTAGCAGGCGGATATGTTGCAGATTCGGTTCCCTTCACATTCGGACCCTGCACTGGATGCGGGTCCAGTCAGCAGGACCTATCAGGAGCTGGATGTGAGTCAGATTGGGTGTATCTCCCAGCGCGCGCGAGAATTTCACAGACGATCCCATGTAACTTCGACTCGATTGAAAAGGCAAGCACGAGACCTACAGTTTGGTGTTAAAAGATATAAAAAGATATGTATGTCATTTTATAAACACCGGCGCTTATAAATTTACTCGATTATAAGCCCACCCCCATGAAAAAACCTGTTTTATTATTGCCCCCCATGGGGGTATATCCGGGGGGATACGGTATGCAGTTTTTCTTCTCTGATGGATATGTTGAAAAAGTGCTGCTGCGCTGCGGCATTATTGAATGAGCATATACGGGTAGATTGTTGCAAGCAATGTCCTATACACACTATACCCCCACTATCTATGTCCAGCCTACATTCAAAGCGAGGCAGGAATGACTCACACAGGTCCTCTTCCTTCTGCTTCACGCTACATCTTGCGCCACCCACCACCTCAGCCAGCAATATAGTCTCAGAATGTCATATAGCCAACTTCTCCCTTCTGTAACCAACACATCACATCTGTACAGCCTGCACTGCACCCAACTCTTGGCCAACCAGCCCTGCACCTTTTTCTGTTCACCTGCAAGGCACAAACTTTACACAACCATTCTCCAACTCCACGCAACATGCAAGATCAATTGCACACAACCACCACCATTCCAAGCCCCACTCCTACACATGCATATCCTTTTACACTCCTTGATATTCAAGTTATCTCTCCCCCTGCTTCACACCCCTAATCCCAACCATCTCCCGCCGCTGCTACTGCTGCTGCGACAGGGCCAATACTGCTACAGCCACTGCTGCCGCCTCTTCTGCTGCCACCACTGTTGCCGCCGCCGCTGCTGCCGCCGCTGCTGCCGCCGCTGCTGCCGCCGCTGCTGCCACTACAGCTGCCACTGCTGCTGCCGCCCACCATGCTCGCCTCCCTCATTGCTATCTTGTTCGCCCTTGTCTCCAGCTTCCCCACCTCCCCTCCCCTTCCCCTCCTGCCCCGCCTCACTTCCATCCTCCCTCTCCCTTTCCCATCCGCCCTGCTTCTGACAACTTCCTCCTCCATCATAATAAATGCCAGGCAGGAAATTCCTTTGCACCTCCCCTCATGCACACGACGGTCTCATGCCCAACCAGCCCTGCACCTGCTGCTGTCCAATTGCTAGGCAAATTCTCCACACGACCATTCTGCAACTCGCTGCAAAATACAGCTCTATCACATATGCAGCCGCACAAACACCATTCCACGCTCCACATGCATGCATGCCCCTTGCATCTAGCCACTCCTCAGTCTCCCCAATCATTGACAGTCAACTCTTCCTTCACCACACTTCCCTTCACATCATCATCCATTCCTGCAATCCGACTATCCGCCTGCGTACCTCCATGCCATCGTTCTCAATCCAAAACCCTTTTGGCGGCAAGAGAGTTATCAGCTTCGTCAGGGGAGTCAGCAGCTGCACCCCGTAATCCGTGACTGCCGTGCCATCCAGAGCAAGCTCCTCAAGGCCTGTCAGCCTCCTTACGTGCATCATGCCAGCATCTGTCACACCCTTACATTCAGAAAGCCACAGCAGTTTGAGAGAGGATAGAGCTGTCAAGTGCTGCAGACCAGCATTGGTCACCCTGGTCGCTTCGAGATCAAGCAGCTTGAGGCTGGTCAAGGACTCGATGCCTTCCAAGGCACTGTCTGAGACGCCAGTATTCTCCAGGCCTAGCACCTCCAGCCGAGGCAGCCTGTAGAGGTGCTTGACGCCCTCTGCACCGAAGCCTGCGGTGGTGGTGAGGTCAATGCTCTTCAAATGGGTCATGGTGGACACGAGGCGGAGGATGTCGTTCGAAAGGCACTTGAGATCTCTCAGGTTCAACAGGGTCGTTTGTGATGCTGCGGTAATTGCCTGTAGCACATGGGTGGAGAGGTAATACATGTCAATGACAACACATGTCATGTGGAACACTGAACGCCCTGGGGAACAGTATTCTAGCACTCACCTCCAATGCCTTTCTCCGGTCGCCTTCACTCTGTTTGAGTTTGATTTCCAGCTCGAGATTCATCTTCATGTCTTGAATCTTCTGCCATTCCTTGCAGGCAGCCAATTCCTCCATGACACGTGGCCAATTCAGCTCCTGCACCTCCCTCCTCCTCTCCTCCCTCTCCCTTGCTAACTCTGCTCTCATTTCAACTGCCTCCTCTCGTAGCTCTCTCAAATCCGATTGTCTCATTCTTTCAGCCATGATCACTTGTTCTGCCATAGCATCCTTGATTTCAACCAGACTCCCCTTCACTGCGGTCAGGTTCTGCTCCATCTCCTCCACCTGCCTTCTCATCTCCGCCGCTGCTCTCCTCTCAACCTCTTCTTGCTGCAACGTCGTGGACTGCTTGTGCTCAGCCAACCCCCCCTTCACTACAGCATATTCTGCAGCCATCTGAGATCCTCTCTCCCCCTGCCTTCTCATCTCCCTCATCTCCGCCACCCATATCCTCTGCAGCTGCAATGTAGTTGAATTCCTGTGCTCAGCCAACCCGGTCTTCACTCTTGCCAGCTCCCCCTTCACTGAGGTGAACTCCCTCTTCACTAAAATTAACTCCCTCCTCACTGCTGCCAAGTCTCCCTCCCTCTCCTTCATCACAGCAGCAGTCGCCTCATTCCTCTCCACCACAGCATTCAACGTGTGCCGGAGCTCATTCACCTCCTCCTTGTGTGCAGCCAGCTCCTCTCTCACTGCTGCCAGCACCGCCTCTTTGACCACTTCAATCAGTGTACCCATCACCCTCTCAGCAGCCATGTCGTCCACTCACTCCCCTCAAACAGCCCTCGTTCGATGACTGACCAATCCCTGCGTTCAATTGCCTTTTTTCACCGCAGACTGGAAAACGCAGGCACTCCTGCGTGGGTAGGACAGGGCTGCGCATTGTGAGAGAGAAGTGAAACGTAAAAACAAAACAGGGAAAGTGGGCGTGGTCAATGCAAAAACGAACAAAGACCAATTACATGGGCGCGAGGGATGAGGCGAACGCAGCGATGGACAGAGTGGATTGGAGGGGTGGAGCGAGCAGAAACAGGCCAAGGGTGGTCAGGGAATGGGAGGGCGAGAGAGCAGAGCTGGGAGAAGGAAGAGGACGAAGGAGATGCGTTGTGAGCGTGGTGGGAGGAGGCAGGTGAAGGTAATCATGAGCAGCAGTCGAAGCACAGAGAAGGAGTTGGGAGCGATGCTGGAGTGCAAGAATGAAGAGAAAAGAATCCATGAGGACAGAGATAGCGACTTCGTGGGGTGAATGTTTAACGAAGAAATAAGAGTGGCAGGAACGGATAGGATGAGCACATGCAGGGATGAGGCGCACGTGTAGAGGGGAGGAAGTGGTGGAGAGAGCTTACAGAGTTAGGCGAGAGATAGATAGTGGTCTGCCCGGCAGTGAAGCAGCGGTAGGGAAGGATGAAGAGGGGATATCTGGATATTTTGAAGGTAGAAAGACCAGGGAAAGCCCACCTCACAGGATGATAGCAGAGGGAAGAACAACTAGCGGAGCGGCTGGCGTGAAGCACGATCTAGCGGCAGCAAGGAAGGGGCAGCTTAGACGGTGCGTTACATGAGCGGCTGAGAACGTGTGTAGATGTGAGCGGAAGAAGGAACGGATGAGACGCAGGAGAGGGAAAAGAGAAGTTAGTGAAACTTACTGCAAGTAAGATGCTGGCATGGCAAGAAGTTTGCGGGTGACAAGAATCTCTACAAAGCAATCATTGCGACAATAACAGGACAGAACTAATGGCTGGCCAAGAAAGAGGAGCAAGAGAAATGAACAAGCGCAAGTCTGGTGACAGAATTTGCAGCCGCCAGTTAAAGATGGAGCGACTTGGATTGGTCATAGAGAGTAACTTTCTATGAAACGGTAGCGGCAAGCTAAACTGAAAATGGATGAGATGAATGGAAGGCATGCCCACCTCACAGGACGATAGCAGAGCGGCAAACAACTGGTGGAGTGGCCGAAGCGTCCCCAAAGGACGATTTAGTAGAACAGAAGGGCAGGTGAGGAGGGAAGGGGCAGCTGGTTGGGGGGTGGGAAGAGGGGGGGGGGGGAGGGGAGGAGGGGCTGTTGACCGTGGGTAGAAGTAGGTACAGGTATGAGACGCAGGACTCACTCGGGAGGGAGGAAACTGATATTTTGGGATCGATTTACTCTCATGACATTTGCACTAAGTGAACGGCTGGCCAAGAAGAGGAGGAAACTGAGTGAACAAGTGCTTGCAACCAAAGTAGTAGCAGCAAGCCGAAGAGGAGCAGATGGGAGGAATTGAACTGGACATGAAAAGCAAGGGAAGCTGAGATGAAATTGGGTGAGATGATAGAAGACATTCAAAGTGATGGGCGAAGACATTCTCAGCAAACAGACAGACGAGATGCGCAGCAGCGCAACCCAGGGCGAAAGGGCGCACCGGAAGAGAGGCACTCGACAGCAGTGGGAACTAGGAAGAGATGGCAGCAGGCGCTTCTCAGCAGACTAACGGACAAGGCTCCGCAGGCAGGGGAGAGAAAGGAGGAAACGGAGAGGAAGTGTGCTGCTGGCAGGAAAAAAATCGGCGGAAGTGGGAAAAAACTACTAGATGTTGGCTTTGCTGCAGAAAATAAGAGCGAGGGAGGGGAAAAGAGAGGAGGAGGGAAGATCGAGGGAGCAGGGAGAGGAAGGCAGAGGAGGTTGAACGAGGGAGCACGGAGAGAGGCACTTTACCTCCGACCCAGGTGCTGTGCGTCCCCATGCATGGCACGCGCTGCGCCACCCATCCAATCGCGACGCACGCCTTCTACTCGCCTCGAACGCCCATCCAGATGGGTCTCCAAAGGTCGTTCGCCTCTCGCCACCCATTCGAAAGCCCTGCCATCCCGATGGGGTATTTTCGATGGGGGGATTCCTGTACCGAGTCATTCAGTTGACACAGATGACGTCGATGCACCATCCATGGATAGAGCGTACATGCTAATCGCTCCACCTCGAAGGAACCAATATGGATAAACGCGCCATCCCCGGCGTCTGACGCGGTTATGACGTGACGGCAATCGATCAGCCGAAACCCTCGACCGCGCCGCATTGGCATGTTCCTCGCGCAAATGGAGCATCGCAGTTGTCACAACACTGTCATTCATGACTACCCTCGACATCATCGTCGTGTCCAATGCAGTGGCTAAACGGACTCGCGCGACGATTCCCAGATTCTTGCCGCGTCACTGACGCTTTGGACATCTCACATGCGTGGCAAATGTTCCTCAATCACGAGGAAGTTTTCAAGCGTGGTTTGCGTTGCCGCTTTTGGTAACATGGTGTTACTTCGCTTTTTGGGTTGCGTAGCAACCCTTTATATTTGGTTTCACATTTTGGGGATATCATTTCAAAGGTGATTTTCCATACTCTTTGGAGCACACATTTGAACTTCCAAGACTTTGTTCAAACGGATGCCTCAAATAGTGAATAAAAACCACTCTTGAATGAGATCCATAAACGTGAAACCATGCACGTGCGTATCATGTTGAAACCACGAACTTGTTCGACCGTCCCACCTCGTCGATTAATACGGCGGATGGTACGGCCGAGCATAATATTCTGGATTCAACATGAACAAATGCAATTGTACAGATGAACAACAAAGTATGAAATGTAGGTGGATGCTTCAAAATCAATGTTAAAATGCATCATGTAACAACAGAGGTTGATGGGGTCGTTGAAACAGCGAAAACCCGCTGCCCCAAAGACGATTAACAACCTCTAATTGCATACATGACACATACTAACACCACACTTTGAAACACACATCCCACAAACATGAATGCAAACGCACGTAAAAAAAAGTACAACCCATCTAACCAAACGCATTAAAATGCAACCCCACAGTGAAACAAACACAACGAGCACACCCGCACAAACACACACATACATACACAAATAGGATTGATAGCAGACATGTGGAACAAGTGAACAGGAATGAAATGACTAAGTCAGGGTTGGGTACAAATACAACCCTAGAAAGCTGTACCCATATGTGCTACCCCACTATACCCTACAAACATGCATCAACTATGATAATCTGACACACCCCCATAGGCAAAGTGGGGGAGAACAAGGGGTCACAAGACCAGTCAAGCAAAGCAAAGCAAAGCAAGCTCAGGGTGGATCACAAAGTCACCACACAGTCCGAGCACAAGAGCAGGGCCAGAGGCCAGTTCACATGCAGGAGTACAGACATATATATAAAACTAAACAAACAAGAGCAGGTATATATATATGTCACAGTACAAGTGAAGTCAAGAGGAGAGCAAGTGAGGCAAGACAGGCACAAGACCCAGCTGGGTGCAAAAGCACTGATGGTCACAAGGCGCGAGTGCCTTGGTGAACACATCAGCAGTGTTGGCCTCAGAGGCCACGTACGCAAGTCGCAACTGACCACGCTGCTGCAGCTCACGAGCAAGGAAGTAGCGGAGAGCAATGTGCTTCGTTCTGTGCTCCAAGCGCTGCTCTCGACACAAGGCCAGCATGGCCTTGTTGTCTACGTACAGCACTGGAGGAGAACGAGGCGGCTCTCCAAGGTCAGTCAGCAGGTAGGTGAGCCAGCGAAGCTCCTGTGCAGCCATGGCCCCGGCGTAGATCTCAGCCTCACAACTGGAGCCGAGAACCGAAGACGAGCGAGTAGACCGCCACGAGACAGAGCCGGAACCAAGGCTGAAGGTGTAACCCTGTGACGACCGCTGCGTAGCCTGGTCGTCAGCCCAAGAAGCGTCCGCGTGGCCGGTAAGGACCACTGGACTCCGCCCTCCAAGCACTAGCCCCATGCCCGACGTACTGCACAGGTAGCGCGATACCCTCTTCGCTGCAGCCATGTGCTCCGGTCTGTGTCTCCCACGAGCAACATAGCGTGCAAGAATGCTCAGAGGGTATGCAAGGTCAGGTCGTGTGTAGGTCATCAGGTACATGAGGCAGCCAACAAGCTCTGCATACGGACCACTCGACTCTACGGACTCATCCGAAGGCAGAGCTGAGAGCGAGTGGCGAGTAGGCAGAGAAGTGGCCTGAGGCGAGGAGTACGTAAAGCCGAAGCGCTGAAGGACCTGCTGCACCATGTGTGACTGAGTCAAGGTAATGGTGCGACGTGCTCTGTCCCGAGTGATCTGCAAGCCAAGGTAGCTGCGCAGTTCACCCAGGTCTGTACACGTGTGTCTCTTCAGCAGCTCGGACTTCACGTAGGCGAGTCCAGCAGTGTCCGCTGTGGCAAAGACCAAGTCGTCGACGTACACGAGGATGTACAACGACGGCAGGGAAGTGTCGGTGCGAAGAAACAGCGACGGGTCAGCAGTAGAAGGAGCAAACCCAAGAGCCGCAAGCGTAGTCCTCAGTGTGTCGTGCCACTCACGCGGTGCCTGGCGGAGACCGTAGACTGGCCGTCGGAGGCTCCACTGGGTGCCAGGAGGGAAAGTCCCAGTGAAGCCAGGTGGACGGCGAAGCCAAATCTCCTCGTGCAGGCTACCCTGCAAGAACGCAGTGCTGAAGTCGAGAGAGTGAAGCTCGTAGTCGCGCTGAGCGGCTATGTGCAGCAGCACCCGAAGAGTAGTCATCTTCGGGGTGGGAGAGAAGGTCTGAAAGTAGTCAACTCCCTGCCGCTGACTGAAGCCACGAGCAACGTACCGTGCCTTGAAGACAGGTGGAGTGCCCGGCGGCCGCTTCACCCTGAAGATCCACATGCCACTGACGATGTTCGCCCCAGGAGGGGGAACCGCGTCAACGTAGGTGCCTGTGGACTTCCAGGAAGCCATCTCTGCATCCATAGCTGCCTGCCACTGAGAGGAGTAGGGACCCTCTACGGCCTCCACGTAAGAACGCGGAGTCGGGATGTCTAGTGCATCCGGGTCTCCCTCCGGGGCAAGCAGTACAGACGCGAGATGAGGTGAAGCAGCCGCTAGACACTGTAACTCCTCCTGCCTGTCCTCTAGGACGTCCGTGCCAAGAGCACACTCACCCCCGACGGACGGAGGACAGACAGACGCAGACTCAGCAACAAGACTAGCAGCGTAGTCGAGACGACAGCGAGCAGCAAAGTCGACGAGCTCAGTGACTAGAGCAGACGCAGCAGTGGACTCAAAAGAGGGGTCAGTGACAACAGTAGCAAGCACACGCGTGACAGTAGGACTGGCAGCACGAAGAGAGTCCGACTCAGGGTTGGCAAGCGCAGGAAGAGAGGACTCAGGAGGAGAAGGCAAAGGGGCACGCAGAGGAGCAGTGGACGGACGCAAAGACATCCGGTGCGTGCCAGGGACAGGAGGAGGACGCTGCCGCGAATTGCGACCACTAGCGCGAGCAGCATGAACAGGCGACGCGGGACGAGACGCAGGCTCACGACGCTCAGCAAGACCTCCAGTAGGACCAGTGTAAGGAAAGGGAGCAAGCAGTGGAGAGGAAGGCTCCAGCAGGGACTGCGACTGGACAGGCGGTGGACCCTCTACTGTAGGAGAAAGACCAAGAACCTGCTGCAGGAGCGGAACGAAGTACGGCCGAGGCCGCGCGGCAGCTCCAGACGCAGCAGGGACAGCACCAGCACCCTCAGCGACAGCACCAGCGCCACCCACACCTCCAGCGGCAGGACCAACAGCAGTAGGATCAGCACCAACGCCCTCAGCAGCTCCAGCTCCAGGAGGACCCGCAGGTCCAGCAGCTCCGAGACCGGCAGCACCCGCACCCTCGACGGTCGAAGAAGCTCCAGCTCCAGCTCCAGCAGCACCTCCAGACTCAGCACCACGCCTCCAGCGGCGAGCGAACAACTCGCGCAGCTCCTGTGGAGAGAGGGGCTCCCGGCGAGACGCAGCAGCAGGAGAAACCCCAGGCTCAGCAGCTCCAGACGCAGCACCCCCAGGCTCAGCAGCTCCCAGCTCAGCACCCCCAGGCTCAGCAGCTCCCGACCTAGCACCCCCAGACCCAGCACCTCCAGGCACAGCACCCCCCGGCTCAGTACCCCCAGGCTCCGCACCCTCCGCAGTAGCACCCTCAGGCCCAGCACCCCCAGCAGTAGCACCCCCAGGCTCAGCACCCCCGCGCACAGCACCCCCAGAGTCAGCACCCCCAGGCTCAGCACCCGCAGCAGCACCGGAGTCACCAGTAACCTCGACCGGGTCAACGGCGTCTACTTGGGACACACCTGAGGGGGCAGGAACCTGAGGGGGGAGGGGGTCTACCGGGGGGGGAACCGGCACAAGGAAGTCCGGGGGAGGGGGGAGGGAAGGAGTGCGGTAGGGGAAGAGACGGTAGAAGGGGACTGACTCGTCGAACGTGACGTCATGGGAGGACAGAACACGACGAGAGGAGGGGTGGTAAAACTGCCACCCTGGGGCGTCAGTGGGGAAGCCAAGGAAGACACAGGGAGCAGCACGAGGGGACAGCTTGTCCGTAGACAAGTCGCGGACAAACGCCCGAGATCCCCAGACACGGAACACAGACGCATCGCCAACCTTCCCCGTCCACAGCAAGGCTGGGGACATGGCAGGCCGAGAGACCCGGGGGTGAAGGTTGAGCTGATGCGCCGCGTACCTCACCGCAAACGGCCACAGAAAATGGGGGGCAGCCGCATGCATCATGGACGTACGAGCGACATCCATGACCATGCCAATGCGGCGCTCAGCAATCCCATTTTGCTGTGGTGAGTCCGGAAGTGTGAAGGTCTGGCGGATCCCCCGTGCACGACAGTAGTCTCGCAGAAGGCGAGAAGAGAACTCTCCGCCTCTGTCAGAGTGCAGACGCAGAACAGGAAAGTCCGAGCCGAAGCTCTTCCTGAGCTGGAGACGAGCCTCGCGGATCCAGTCGATCAGCACCTCAGTGACCGCACCCTTGCT